AGTGGTTATGGAATTGGGCACTAGTATGAACTTTTGTTTGTTGATAAAACACAAGAATTAAACACACGGGGATCTTTCCAGAATAAATACATCAGGCAATAGGGACTTGTCAAGCATTTAGTTGATCTGAGAAAGTTTCGTTTTGCTCGGAATTGATGTCGCTAGAATACAAAAAACAAAACTAAAATTGTCATTGTGATCGATAAAAATAACATTACTTTGATTCCACTGCCCCGTTGAGGATATTTTTCTCAATGTGCTGTCTTAAAATCTTTAGGAAAAGTTTGGATTTCGTTTAGATGTAACTGAAGCCTGTATAAGAAGACCGGAGAGTTTAAGAAAGGTCAGTATGTCAATGGGCTTTTGAAGAGATTCAGAAATGTCCAGAATTGTATAAATTTAATTGTACCGTTAATCTTAATATCTGAAAATATTTGAGCATAATTTTGTTGATTGTTTCTTTGGTACACTAGTTCCATATCCTTATAGCCAATGGTATGGTTTCTGGATTTGGTCATTGTCGAAAAGTGCAAAACTCACAAATAAAAAGGTTAATTATTATTCGAATATTACACCGGACAATTTGCTCTGTACGTGTCTTTTCATTGCCCTAAAAACGGTTTTTCATTGTTAAGGGAATAGGTTTTATTGGATGTCATCACCTATTCTTGATTGGTTTCTTGCCTTGTACCTGGTAGGAGATTTATCCCTTTCCGTCTTCTAGCTTTATTTCCTGAATTGCCTAATATTCCCTGTTGCTCTGGGTGAAACACTTGTTCCGAAAGGAAATGGGGAATAGCAAGAATGAGAAAAAGAAGATCAAGAATGAGAAAGTCATGAAAGAGACACAGAAGAGAAGGAAAAGAACGACAATAGGAAGAAAAGTGAAGAGCAAAAAGAAAGATAAGAAGGAAAAGCATCAGAAGAGGAATAAAAAGAAGGTAGACAAGAAGGAGACAAAGTGTAAGGCAAGAAGAAAGAACACGAGTTATAAAAAGGAGGGTAGAGAAGAAAAATTACGAACAAGCGAGAAAAGAGCAACAGGAGTGAAAGAAAAAAAAGAATAAAAATTGTTTTAACCAATTCACCAAGGCGATAATTCGACTAAGACGCAAAAAGCTACTGGGAGTAAAAGAGAATGAGAACACTTTAGAAGCAATCTGAAACCTAATCTTAAACAGGAAACAAGAGATAAACCACTACTCCTATTCAAAGAACTAACTGGATGTAAACCCAATTAAAATGGTAGATTCTAATAATGCAGAATCATAAATTAAACGGCCTGAAGAAACACGGAATAGCCGTAATGGAAGAAAAATAAAAATAGCGACAGAAAAAAGGTGTGAAATTAACATCAATTAAGGGAATAAGTTATAGGGATTGCTATTATCTACTCTCGATTGGCATTCAGTCCTTACCTGTCTCTGATAGGGAATGAACACCTTTCTAGTTCTAAGCATTATTATTATTTACCTGATATTTCCTGTCGATCTCGGTGATTATGTTTTTTTAGACAAGTTTGAATCACTTGTAGATTTTCTGTCTGTCCTTGTGCTTGTTGTCGAAGCGAAATGTAAACGTACGGATACCCATTTTAGGTTATTTATGTATACTTATATCATATGCCATTGATATTACTAGTTTGCATTAAGTGCTTGTTAATACGTTCTAGAATATGTTAAAGAAACCATTTCTATCAAAGTTACAGTAAGAAAACTGATTTCTGCTTTGCAGCGGAAAATATTATCATCCAAAAATGACAAAAAAATGTCTCATGAATTTTATCAGAAAAAATATTTTTGAGTTCAAGTAAATTAAAATTAATTTAAAACAGCTGGATAAATCATGTCATCTAAATATATTACCTGGTTTTTAAAAAAACTAGCAACATTTTTTTCGGCGAAGTAAAAAGCTTTCATTTATGAAAAGTTTCGAGTCCTGTTTGGAAAAGCAATAGATTCTTGATGTGTACATTTATTTTGCATTCAAAGCAGCTGACAAAATTAAGCTTAATCCAACAAGTTTTAGATTTATCTGAAAATATTTTCTGAATTGCAAAATGTTTTCAAACAAAAAAGAAGGAAGAAATTATCTTTTTCCAGTTTCCTTCACTTTTGGTGAAAACATACTAAATCGAATTTGAGGTCTTGTAACCTCCAATGACCCTGGATTTGAGGACCATCGACCTTCTCAAATTTATCTGTCGGAGTCACTCTACTACTTACTAGTTTAACTACAAGCATATAATTGCTTGGTAGCAATAAAGATCATAACGGCCCTAAACTAGTTTTACCTTCAATAGTTTCCATGAAAATCAGAGATCACATCTTGTCGGATATGAACTACTAATAATAAGGTCAAAAATGGTTCTGTGTTACTTCAGAAATTCAATATCCCACTCCATTAACGACAGAATTGTTCTAATTGCCTAGAAGTAGAAAGCTGTGTTCTTAGATGACCCCTGGCGACATCGAATTACACCCACGCAACTGTATATCTAGTAAATCTCTAGGCAAGTAAATATTTAAGTCCAGATTTTGTTTTGAAAATTGTTTCATTTAGATAGAATGATATTCTGTGTTATTTTCTGATCTCTTGTGACTTTGAGTGACCTCCGAGTTCAATTGATCAATTCATATGACCTATATTACAACATATTGGCTTTTGAGTTTCCATGCCCTCAAGCAAATGAAATGGTCTGAGCGTACTTGTAAAATTTTAACACCTGATGACCACAATATATCACGGAGTTACTCAAAATACATATCGGCATGTCCTTAGAAGTGATCCCCTACCAAAAGCTGAAGCTTCGTATTTTGAATTTTGGGAGGATAAATTTTCAGCATCTTTAGCATGTCGACTTGTGTTAATATCCATGTAGACATATTCAATTTCTTACTCTCAGTTGACACACACCCAAACGCACACACATACATACCCACATACACACACATAAAGTATGTTCATACTCACATGCTTTCTGTTTAAAAATATCAGATCCGGTCAAGAATGGCGTGTTTCTGTCATTTTTGGACTGGCACTGTCCAGTATTCACACTCTAGACTGACAAAATTAAGTAGCGATTAGACAGCCTTGTAGGTGATGAATTATCTTCCATAATCAAACCCTTACCCCAAAGCGAAACCTTATTTGTATTACTATCACAAGCCTTCAAAAGAACTACATTCCTTAATTTCACCAGTTCAGACATTCACAGCTAAGAGAGTGACATGTCATGTTAACTGCGTCAAATATTCCCAATGCCCATCAGTGTACTTTGACCAGGAAAAATTCCACTCAGCCAGCTTCTTCCTCAGAATTGGTAGATTGCTTAACAGACTCTTGAGAAGTGGCTTTGCTCAATCACTACAATCTTAACCTCTTCAAATCAAAAGTCAAACTATATCTATCGTATATATCCTCATAATATACATTTCTTACTTCCCTATGCCCTTAAAAGACTTGTACTATCTACCTGGAGTGGCTCTTGGATCTTGTATTTAAGAAAGAAACGTATATATCTATATGGGAAAAAAGTTTATTTGGAATGCACTTCATCCTTCATGATTTCATCTGTTGATGCGCGTCACAAATAAACTTTTTCCATTTTCGCTTAGAATTTTCTCAATACAGTTCTTGATATATATATATATATATATATATATATATATATATATATAATCTTTTGTTATATATCAAGACCAATTTGGGGAAAGATGTATAACAAAGTGGAAGCAAGTTTTCGATGGACGAGTTTCGTCGTTTAGAATTTCATCGGTTTGTAGTGTGTACTCATGCGCACGCCGGAGAGACCCTGGGAATTTTAAATTTAAAATCATATATATACATATATATATATATATATATATATATATATATATATATATATATATATATATATATATATATATGTATGTATGTATGTATATATATATATGTGTGTGTGTGTGTGCTTGCTTGTGTGTGATTTGGCATATAATCTAGTCGATTTCATTTAGAGTTTTTTTTCTTTTCTATCTAAATATATATGTATAATCATTTTCCATGTGTAGCTTAGATGTACCACAAGGCCGAAAACATGGTGGACGCAGTGAAGATCGAACTCAATTCTCAGTCGTAATTGTTCTAGTTAGGAAAGCTTGACAGCCATTACACCATGTCGAGGTTTCCCCTAAGTGTGTGTGTGTGTGTGTGTGTGTGTGTGTGTGTGTGTGTGTGTGTGTGTGTGTGTGTGTGTGTGTGTGTGTGTGTGTGTGTGATTCGACCGAGAAAATATATCTGGTGGAGATCCACAACATATTTGCGTTTGTAAACACTTCTTTCTATTTAATGTAAATGCTTGTTTGTTTGTGCGTGTATATATGCTTGGTTTTCTTCACTTGACAATCTATCGAGCGGACTTTATCGAGCTTTGTCCTTACTATGTACCGCATAAATCTATATAAACATATATAAGTCTTCTCCCTTTATGATATCATGTCCAATCTAGCATTGCTATATCTCATTCTTCTGTAGATGTCTAGGATCAATTTCTGCCCTACATTTTCTTTTTTGAAGAAGACGAAGAAGAGGTTTAAGTCAGTGGGTCAAAGTGAATTATTATTTTGGGCCACCCATTAAATTAAAATCTAAAATTCTGATTCCGATTATTTTTTTTTCTTTGGTGAGTCAGCTACTTTCAGCAACTTGCGTCAAAAATGGAAAAATTGTCGAAGCTGACCATCCATATTTTCTGTTTATCAAAATGATTCCTACTTAGACAATGCATGTCGATACTCGCCTTTTAGAAAAGAGAGTACACACATTTATCTTTCATTTCTCTTACATTGTTTAATTTTCTTTTTCATTCGTCTTATCGCTTCATCCTGTAATCTCAATTTGTGAATATTTGTTTTGACTTTGTTTGAAAAGCAAGGCGGGGTGGTTGTTTCATGTCGGAAGTGACCCCTGGCTGAAATATTCTGACCAAACAATCTTTGAGCGAATATGGATTACTCGTT